GAAGGGGAAGGGGAAGGGGAAGAGGAAGAGGAAGAGGAAGAGGAAGAAGGAGGAGGAGAGGAGAGGAGACACAGAGAGAGAAAGGACAAGGAGGAGGAGAATGAGAGGGGACAGATAGAGAGAGGGAGGACAAGAAGAAGAAGGAGAAGGAGGAGGAAGAGGAGGAGGAGGGGAGAGAGAGACAGAGAGACAGAAAGAGAGAAATTGCTGAGAACAGTAGCAAAAGTTCCAGTCAGGAATTTCCAATTGTGAAGAACTAGGAATTTTTTAAGAATTTTGAGCAAAAACTGGAAGAATGACTGAGACTTGTAGGTGGAATTATGAGGAAGGCAATCCACATGGGAAAAAAAGAGACTGAAGAGCTATTTGGGAGGCAGGTGACAAAAATGGCGGGTGTATCAGTGATGATAGAGTTACAGTCACCATAGAACTGAGTATCAACAGACAATGTAACAGGAAATAACAGCTGGATAGGCAGAAGCAGCTAAGGAAGGTAGGGACTTAACGTTTAACTATATTAACAATAGGAAGTTCCTGGAGATTTTAGAGTTGGCTCTAGTTCATATCTATTCACCCAAATTGATATAGCTTTTTTTTGATAAGGAATTTTGTAAAAAGGAAACAACAAAGACAAACAAAACCAGAAGAGGGCCCAGCCCAGTGTGATTCATTATTCTATTGTTAATAAAGCATTTGCATTTAAATTTGAGAGTGCTTACCGGAAGAGAAAGAAATGTGTTGAAAAAATCAGCAAAGATTTCATTCTCTAGCAGAATTATAAGATTTGTTGAACCAATGATCTCTATATGGGGAGAAAAACACAAAATAAACAAAGACTCCTATAAGCAGAATTGCAATGAGGCTGAGAAGATGAAGTGACTTAGCCAATTAGTTTCCATAGCATGATGGCAGTCTTTAGGGTCATCCAGCCCAACCCCCTGCTCTGGCCTCTCCTTTTTAATACCGCTGTGTTTACACTCTTAGTGTAAATGGGGAGCTCACTGCCTTACAGGACTGCCTATTCCATTTATGAAGAGATAAAATGGTTAGAATGCTTTTTTTTCTTCCTATGAATATGCTACCTTCTAGTTTTAGAAATCCTTCACTCTGAAGTTTCACAGAATTCTTCCAAGTTCTCTTACATAATATTTGCTTCCAATATTTACCATGCTGCCAATATTTGCAAAGATATTATAACAGAAAATGCCTCCCCAGCCAGTATCCTTCAGTTTCTTAGTTGCCCAGGTAACAGCTTCTGTTGTAGCTCCAGTTGTTTCTGTCTCCTAGAAACAGCCTGTCGCTGTGATTCATAGCTGTCACTATGATGTACACTTTGAAAACAATTCCCCAATTGATAAGCCATTCAGCCTTAGTGCTGCTTTATCCCATAGAAGTCCTAGAGCACTGGAGAGCAGGACCTGATATTTTGGGAATGATCCCCATCAGTGCCCATCGATGTACAATACATCTGCCTCCAAATACTGGGTATTGTTTCAGTATTTCTCTGCTTTGTCTCCTACAGCTGTCAATATTTCTGGGGGAAAATGGTAAAAGGATTTAGAAATAAAGACAAGAGATGAAAGCCGAGGTCAGGTGGAGCCCCCTATCCCTGTGGGAGGAAAGGAATTGAACCCCCACTGTAGGGGTATTTACTTATATCATACAACACAGGGTTGCTTAGTGACTAATGACTGGAATTGTCTCAGGCCAGGTGTTTTCTCAGGACTGAAATAGCTTGATTGCTTTAGGCACTCTGGCCTGGCCTTGCCTCCACACATGTGATCAATTTCTAGCTTCAGCCATTCCCTACATTTCTGCTTATCATTGCATCTGTTGTGTCGGCCTGGAAGACCAATGTGTGTGTGTGTGTGTGTGTGTGTGTGTGCGCGCGTGCGCGTGCTCGTGCAGGATCTCACTACACAGCTTGGACTCATAGTGATCCTCCTGATTTCTGCCTCCCTAGTGCTGAGATTACAGGCATGCACCACCTCATCTGGACTCCATCTCTGATTCAGCGTGCCTGGGGGGCAGGGCCAGCATGGCGTGCAGTGCCAGGGATAGAACCCTGGACCCTGTGCTTACCTAAGCAAGTGCTTAGTCCACTGAGCTATATTGCTGGCCCTAGGAAGACCAAATCTGCTGACCTCTTTGATCATCAGTTGTGGCCCCTGTAGATGGGGCAAGGGCCTCTCCAATTCCTGATAGGAAGGCATACCCTTGAGATTTCTTGAGTCTCCTTGAAGCTCTGGAGGAAGAGTCCTGACTTTCTGCTCAAACAGCTCACATCAAACCACAGAGGACAAGGTCTGCCTGCCTGCTTACCTGCCTGATTCCCAATAAGACCCTTGGGGACACACCAGTTAATCTGTCAGTCCTGGTTAGCTCCAGAGCAGAAGGGGAGTCTGATTAACTCTCATTAGTCTAGCCATCCTCAAGGGAAGGGGGTTGGAATGTTTAACCTCTAAGGGCATGCTGAATATGTGAGTGGAATGGACAATAGGCCTCTGTGTACTGAGGCTGGGAAGCACAGGTCATGGTGGCTGACTGGGCCCACACCTGCGGTTCCATGGTGATTGACAGATGGCATAGGAGGCCTCATACTTTCCTTAGCTAATTTGCACCTAAGTCCCAGTGAAGGGCACAGCCTGGAAGGCATCTGAATGGTCTCTCTGAAGGTCACCCACCCTTTGTCTTTTGCACCATCATTCAAGGGTACACAACACATAGGTAGAACGTGAGAGATGGGAACTAAATAGTCAAAACCCACAGTGCAGCAAAGAGGGTTTTCTGAGATTACAGAGGTAAAAATGAAACAAAACTAAAAAAAAAAAAAAAAGCAAGAACAAGGCCCATTCTTCCTGGGAATTCTGGCTTGACACTCTCACCGGCTGCTGCAGTGCTGCCAACACCTATAGTTTCATCCCCACTCCTACCTCATTTACTTCCAGCCCATTGGCCTGGTTCTAGCTAGTCATTGCCTGCATTCAGACCCAGAGGCTCTCCCTCCTGAGCCTTCTGCTCACATGCCTGTCCTGGTCGGATAGCCTCATCCGGCACCCACCGGACATGACTGTCAGCAGTTCCTTCTGAGTTCCACATTTTGACTGAGGAAAATTGAACTGTCAGCCCTAACACATGAGTTGCCTCAGGCTTTCCTTTCCTGCTTACCCAGTCCTTGTTTCCCTGTGCGTTATCAGGGGTGTGTGTGTGTGTGTGTGTGTGTGTGTGTGTGTGTGTTTTGTCTTAACTCTATGGATGTGTTTTGTCTTAACTCTATGGATGATTGTCCCAAGAAAATAAATGAATCAAACACTTAGCTAATATTTGATGACACTCCAAAGCACATTGGACGCTCTCTTTGATCAGATTAACTCCACAACTACCTTGTCAGAGTAATGTTACAAAACCAACAGGCCTAAATCATGCCTTTTCCTAAAAGCAACTTAGGGGAAAACTCTGGATAAAATAGTATCACTGACAAGTCTGTTACTGCTTTTAGTTAGGCCCTGTCTCAAAAAAAAAAAAAAAACCACATGTACTATGCCCAGCAAAGACTTGCTAGGGAAACTAAAGAGGGGAGAGATGTAACAGACAATGCCTCCCCCACCACACACACACACACACACACACACACACACACACCAGTATACTGCAGTTTCTTAGCTGCCCACATAGTAATTCCTGTTGTAGTTCCAGTTGCTTCTGTCTCCCAGAAATGGCTGGTCACTGTGATGCATATTATAAACACCACTCTCCAACGGACCAGCCATTTACCCTCTGTGCGCCCTGCTTGCTTATTCCATATAAGCCCTAGACCACTAGAGATCAGGGCCTGACACTTTGGTAATGATTCCTGACAGTGCCTGTCAATGTATATACACCTGCCCCCAAATCCTGGGTGTGGTTTCGGTATTTCTGCTCGCTGCTGCAGCGTCACAGTTTTCTACTTCCCTCCACCCTCTCGCTGGTCGCTAGGCAACACTTCAGCCACTCTTTGTATGGCTTCCCTTCCATCTGGTTCCTCTCTCATTAGCGGGAGGGACACCCCCAGTCCAGGCACTGCAAATGCTTCCAAGGGCAGAGCACCAGAGAACGACTGTCTATGCTGCATGTTCTATTATTAAAATACACTGGCCATCTGGTGTTCTCAGGAAAAGCGAAGGAGGGCATTATTTAGTTTTCTTGTGTTAACAGAACTGCACTCTATTAAGTGTGACCTGAACTGGAGTTAGCTTTGGAGGCTCCCACGCCACTAGATCTACCACACCTTATGTGTTACCTTTCAGGAACCAAGGGCAGGAATTTTATGTACTCCTGCCAAATTCGAACTGTTTAGCTTGGTACCAACATTACAGCCTGGGAAGCACTTTCTTGGCTATTGATCCTATCGTGCGATGTGTTTAGTACTCCTCTTGGGTTTGATCACTGTCTTACCCAAATTACTGGAAACAATAAACATGGAAAGTCAGAAAGCCAAGTGCAGAGCCTCAGGCGTACCAGGTGTCCCCTTTAAGTTTGCCTCAATTCACTGTCCATGCTGTTCAAAACACAATGCTTAACTAATGAATAATAAGCTAATTACCCAATTACCCCATGTTTTTCCATCATACCCAGAGTTTATAATGAAGGACTATAAAATGAACCTACATTTTTTCTTGCTAGGACTGTCTCAGTCTAGTCAAGTGCCTGATAAAGCATAATTTGAGTGACGTTCACAATCATAGTGTGCAAATTTTGATAAAGAAAACTAAACAATGATTTTTTAAAATCACATTTCCTGGTGACAGCAGGTGGTTGTTTTTCTTTAATAACAGAAGTAGAAACAGAAACAAAAACACTACTGGGAAAGCCAAGCCGATATCGTTCTTGCCTGGTGTTCTACAGATACCATTTTTCTTTGAGTGTTTCAAACTTTTTTGTGTGTATATATATCTTCTGTATCCTCCACCAGCCCTCTGCTCTTCTTCTACAAGTATTCTCCTGCCTAACTAATGTGTGACACATAGAAGGGTCCCAAATCTGTGTTTTCAGCATAGACATCTTGTTTGGGGTTTAGTTTTAAATATACAATGAACCATGAGACATCTCTACGCACATGCATAGCTTTGGTGTCAATATGTTCAACCCTCCAGTTCCCCCAATATGCTCCTTATCCTGCAGCCCCAGTCTCAGTTACTGGAAACATCCCTCACTGAATTATCTTGTCTAGAAGACTGAGATTCATCTATCTCCCCTTGTCTCTCTCCCTGTTTTGCCTCCCACATGTAGAGATGGTCTATGCTGTTAGTTTCTCTCCTGGTACATATTTCTGGAGTCTGTCTTCTCTTCCCTGTCTATACACTGCTACTGTCTTATTACATTTGACCTTAGCCAAAAGGATAATAAATGATTGTTTCTTTTTGATTTTCCTGTTATCTCTTTCCAAGCCCCTGCATCAGTTTCTTAAATGGTTTCCCTACTTCCAGTCTCTTCGCCCTTCCAAGTACACTCCACAAACTATCTCCATAATAGGTTGGTGCTGTTGTTGTTAAAACTCTCCAAAGACCTTCTAAATGTCTTGCAAGTTAAATTCCAAATTCCCTAGTTTAGGGGCCACTGAGATAGCTCAGCAGTCTAAGTGCTTGCCTAGGCAAGTGCAAGGGCCTGGGTTTGATCCCTGGTACCACATGCTGTGCCAGCCCCACTCCAGGCACTTTGAGCTGGTCACCAAGACTGGGCGTGATGGCATGTGCCTATAATCCCAGCAATGGGGAGGCTGAAACAGGAGGATCACCATGAGTCTGAGCCATGTAGTGAGATCCTGTACCAAATATATTAAAAAATAAATAACAAATAATAAAAATTGAAGTCTAAGTTAGACTCATATTAGGACTTACAACCAGAAATAATAAAAAATTCATAATAGAAAATTGATGAATATATTTGATCTTAGCTAGGTGCGGTGTCTGATGCCTAGAATCTCAGCGCTTGGGAGGTTGGGACAGGTGGGCTGCCATGAGCTCTAAGCAAGCCTGGGCTACCTAGTAAATTTGGGGTCAGCTTGGACTGCCAGGTGAGACTCTATTTCCCCCTCCAAAATAAACAAGCAAAGAAACAAACAAGCAAATAAACAGATAAATAAATAAATAAATAAATAAAATTGCAAATTCCCTAGTTTAATCTCTGAAGCTTCACACTATTGGTTTTGCATTCTAGGCCTTTCTGCTACTTTATGCGAAGCTATCTGAGGTTTCCAAGTCAAAAGTAAAGCATTTCAATTTCAGGAACAGGGGCCGGGCAGATGGCTCAGTGGAATAAGTGCTTCCCTGGCAAGTGCAAGGGCCTCAGTTCAATCCTTGGTTACAAAAAAAAAAAAAAAATATATATATATATATCAGGAACATGCATTGCACTCTCAAGTCAGTCTTGTGTCTTTTAATGTCATTCCTATACCATTGCTTAGAGCATCCTTCTCACCCCAGTTGGCTTCAGAACTTAACTAGTTATCTGTCAAGAACTGGCTCACATATAATCCTCTTGGTGAACCAAGAATGGTTGAATCTACCATCATGCTAGAGAGTTCACTGCTCCCTTGCAGTAGCGAGTACATCTTTCATAATACAATTAACACATTTTGCTATTTTCCTTCTTTGCTGTATGTATCTTCCTTCCAAAATGAGGCCTGTGAGAGGACATTGCCTTTTCATCTCTTTTCTCCTAAGCTCTCAACATGCTTATAAATTGTCTACGAGCTGTACATGATAGACAAATTGTACTTTCAAGAAATTATTTTTTATTTTATAAAAAAGAGACAAAAAATCATAATAGAATAACAGTAGTTAATACACTGAGCATCATTATCTCCAAGATATTTTATTTTTGTCAAAGACATTGACCAAAAGGATTGTTACAAAGAAGGAAGAAGCATATTAGCACCAAGGTTTCTGTTTAACGATTTTTAATCTTTGTGGGCTTTGTAGATCATTTATAGAACCTGATATGAATTTCTTAGATGGATGTGACTATGGAGGCCACCTGAGTGCAGGAAATGGGCGCAGCAGAAATTCCCTGGTTGGCTATTTTCCATTTCTATGCACACTGCTGGTAACCATGGGGCTGACTCTGATAGGAGCGGTCCTGGGCAGCACACTCGCGGTGAAGCATGGGAGTTCAGCTCTCCACATTTTCCTTTTACCTATCGCATCTTTTCCTCATTCCTGTTTTTTTTTCCATTCCCAGCTTTTCTGCCTCTAAAGCTTCTAGTAATTTGGAAAGGCTTTCAGCACTCATCCCACACTATAATAATAATAATAATTCTGACTTGTCAACAAAATAAATCAGTAGATAACCCTAAGCCCCACGCTAGCCTCCTCCTGGGAGAAGGAAAGGCCCGTTCTGGCCCAGAGTACAGCTGATTTCCTCTCACTAGCCTTAGTTACTTTATCAATGAGGCCTTGGCCTATTCTTAAAGATCTAATGGCAGAAGATAGGCAGGGGAAGAAAGAGAAAAAAGAGCAAGTGAAAACAAAGGACAGCAATGACATCAAGTCACATGTAGTCCCCCTGAATGGCTCGCTTCCATTTAATGTCTAGGAAGGCCTGTGGTTTGTCTTGAGGGCTCAAAACCTCGGGGAAATCCCTCTGGGAGACTCACCAGCGCTGCTCATGTTGCCACCCGTTTCCTGCTGCTGTGATGGTTAGGAGTAGAATGCAGCTTTAGTCCCTGGAAGCTCCCCCTTGTGAACACACAGTGACATCTGTGAAGGATTCCAGAACCCACAGGCAGTGTCCATTGTCCTCTGGCATAGATCTCATTCTGGAGGGGCTTTGTCTGAGCTCCTGGGACTTCTTGGAGTACCAGATTCCTCCTGTACCTAGTTCATACTATTTTGTGTACGCTAATGCATCCTTTCTAAGTGTGTCTAAGATCACTTCATTATGCCATTACTCCTTTCCTGCCCTCTGAGGACTTTTTGCATAATTAAACTCAGTTTATAAACTATTAAACTTGAGGTAATTTTTCTGAGGCAGTGTCTCACAAAATTGGGCAATCTGGCCTCAAGCTCACAGTCACTGTGCTTCAGCCTCCTGACCACCTGGGACTACAGGTGTGCTGTACCACATGCAGCTGCACTTCACGTAATTTTAATAAGCATTGTCTCCTGGATATTCTGTTTGCTTAAAACATCGAGACCCCAAGAAGGCTGATTTCCCTCTCTTCAAAAGACTGTCAGGCACTTGTTTTTCTTTTTTCAGCTCTTCATTTCTCTTGTCCTCCTCTGATAGGAAGTTTATACTAAAGGTGAAAGAGTATCTTCCCTATACATCTTAAAAATTTAGCTATGAACATTACAAGTAGCCTTGATCATCAACTCGATTGTTGGAGAAATACCTAAGAAATTAGTAAAGCACATTTCTGAGGTTGTCTGTGAGGGTGCAGAGATGACTGCCCCACGGATCAGCAATCTGAGGGGCAGAACTGTCCCAAATGTCTTCCTTCTCCCCTCCCCTCCCCTCCCCTCCCC